GCGACCAGACCCTGAATGAACGAATGATGATGGATGGATGGATGGACATAATTTTCACTTTAGAAGTGGGGGGGACACGGGGGTGGGGGGGGGGGGGGGGGATCTTTACAGTATGCTCTAATGGGAAACAGGCTTCAACATAAACGGTTGTTTTCTGCTTGGTCCTAGAGCTCAACCAGTGTCAGTTTAATATAGCGTAATAATGTTTTTGGATGGTAAAAAGTGCAGGGGTCAAATCTTGACTTCGGAAAAAGTGGGGGGGACATATCCCCCCTGTTCCCACCCCCCCAAAATTACGTCCATGGATGGATGGATGGATGGATAACTCATGGCAGCATCCCTCTGCAGATTTTTAGGTACTAGATTGAAAATAATTTTTAAAGCAGCCAAAGAAAAAAACTTTATGTAAAACCTCCAGAAAGCCTAAAAACAACTAAACAGGACCATTTCTAAAGAGAGAGTGCGAGACTGGCTGATGCTCCTCCAACCCCTCCCACCAAACCATTCATCTCCAGACGCAGTAGCACCCAGAGCCGAACGTGTGGTTTCGACAATCTGGACTTCGTTTGGTCTGACGTGTGTTTGCCACCAGTTGTCATGACAATAAGTGGTCAAGCAGCCTCTGGCAAAGTGTCATCCATAAACTCCAGTGAAAATGGAGGCGGAGGAGGAGAAACGAGACAAGGGAAGCCGCCTTATTGTTCTGCGAAAACTGGATGACTTGAGAAGTCGGATGGAGTTTTGTGGTCAACTTTGTGTGTTTGTTATAAATAAAGCTGCAATATACAGTTTATGAGAGCGTGAGTTAACAGAAGGATGCAAAGGAGAACTGGTGGAGAGAGAACTTGAAATCGCAGTTTGGGTGGCGTCGCTAAGAGAAATAAACAAATGTTTCTTTTTTCAGGAGTGCTTGTGTAACGAAGGGTTTGTCTAAACAAGGGGAGTAAAGTTTTATAGACAGATAAACCTTAGAAATTAATCAGCTCAAGGCATGAATCTTGTTATAATGTGCATTCAGTTATAATCCATCCACCCAACAGAGCCCACTTTGTTTGTCAACATAAATACCGTACTAATTAAAGTCCAAAAGCTGGAATACGAATAAAAACGCTGTTCTTCACGTTGGGGGACGTGATGAGAATCACCAAACCAAAAGTAAAACCAAGGATGCAGGAAAGGATGATCCTCACTGTTAGAACGGCTTGTATTGGGGAGAAATGTGGCAGCGTGGATCCAACTGTTTGTGATTTAAAATAGAGCTGCACAATATATCGTAAATATATCGTTGTCGCGATATCAGCATGCACAATATGCATATCGCAATGAATGGTCAGCTCAAATGTTTGCTACACATGATGCATTCTGTCAGTCAAACAGAAGCATGATGTTTTTTAACAAATCAAATAGAGCTCTTCACCCATTTGGCCAATCAGGTGGGTTCTCATAGGTTAGATGCCCGCCCCCGAGGCGGACGGCACTTAATTTAGATGGTTAGCAAACACCTGAGTTAGCTTAGTTCTGCTCTTTCTGCAGATTCTGCTTTTCCCGGGATCCACTGATTGCCATTTCTTGTTCATTTTCTTTTTCTCCTTTCCTCACATCTTTTGCTTTTCTCATTTTTATGATTTTTTAAATTTCTTTGTTTTTGATTATTTTTGTTCCAGAGTTAAAGGGACTTTAAGGACTTTTGAATTTTTATGCTCGCGATTGCCCCCTCAGGCCAAAAGCGTAACGGCAGCTTCAATAGTAGGCTCGTGCACGAGGCGCGCATGCTGTACGTGCACACTCCTTAACGAAAATAACAGCTGAGACAGTCCCGTATGTGTGTGTGTGTGTGTGTGTGTGTGTGTGTGTGTGTGTGTGTGTGTGTGTGTGTGTGTGTGTGTGTGGCCCGGAGGACAGGAGAACGTGCAGCTAATTAATTAAATAATTTGGTTCTGTACCTTTCTCTTCAGCACAGCCGACAAAGGTTTATGATGGGTCAGTCCTCCTGCATGCTCAGATCATTCCCTTCCCTTGCTTGAAAAATTGTTCCAAAATGAAAGTTGAACCCACATCTTTTTTATCTGTGAATTCAATGCCGTTCGGCGAGTCTCAAATAAAAATTTGGGCATCTTACTGTAAAAAATTATACCATTAATGTAAAGAATAAACTCTAAATGAAGTATGTTCACACCCAGAATCAAACCCAGGTCTTCTGCATGGGAGTCCGACGTCTTCCAAGGTGAGCTACACTCTAGTAACATTCAGACTATCTAACTTTTATATCCTTGATGACAGCTGAAACAACGTCAAACCAAAGAACGGGTCGAAGCGAAAATGGCTATTTTGTTGCTAATTTGCAGGAAATATCTAGAAGAAAGTTCTACAGAAAGTAGCTAAGGGTCCTCAGAAATGTAGCTAGCTTTGTCACTAGGCGTTAGGAACAGCGACAAAGTGGCACTGCCTCTCTCTCTGCTGCTAAAGCTACGGATAGCAAATGCTACGGGCGATGCCTGAGCGTGAACGCGCATGAAGCAGCCTGCTCGACCCGAGCATCTCTCTTTTTCTGTGATTTTACAGAAAAACAGGCAATCACAGTAAAAATGCCAGGGCTCATTCTACAGGACCAGGGCATTGCAGGAGAATGTATGAAGAAGACATTTATTATTTCTATACATGTTTTGGCTGTCAGACTTCCATAATGCCCCTTTAAGTTTGTATTTATTGCAAGTAATATCGCCATTGCAACATTAATCATTGTTATCGAATATCGCAGGTTTTCCTAATATCGTGCAGCCCTAATTTTAAATGTAAGTAACACCAAAGACTGTCCAAAGTCCCACGGCGATCCATAAACCAACCCGCCGTCCCAAAGGAGCGTTTCTGCTGTAACCTCTTTGGATCAGTGATTCCCCAGATTGGATACCAGGACCAAGAGGAAATCTGATTTCCTGTCCAATAAAACTACAAAAAAATCTATCTTTGAGAAAAAGTAGGTGGAAGCTCAGGTCAGTGAGAAAATGAGGGAGCAGAAAGACTGAACGTATCCAGTTTCCTCCTCTAAACCAAGTGGAATCCCACTCTGATTGTCCTGGAAGAGGTAACCGTGTTTTTATGCATGTTTGTGGGAAAGTACACGAGGAGCTGGTGCATAATGACATCAGCAGAGATCAGGTCATGTTCCCGGACTGCTTTTTTCCAGAGCAATCCAAGGTTTAAAGTGAGACACTCACAGATGAGCCAGGATGATACTAAATTACACTTGAGGTGAAATTTACTCAGAAAACCCCTTTTTAACACAACACGTCCCATGCACCCGGTCTTTTAGGGCTACAAATGACACAAATTTGAGTAGTTAAATATCCACCATTAAGAGCTGAGCAGTGGGTTTGGTTTTAGGCTGGACTAAAAATAAAACACCATGAAACTCTTTAATCTCAGAGAAACGAAGAATCTTCTACTTCTGCTGAAAGTAACGACAACAAATGCGTGATCAGTTGCAGGGGCTTGTCACTGTTCGGGGTGTTTTTGTAATTGAACATACAGACGTGGACAAAATTCATGGTACCCTTCGCTCAATGAAAGAAAAACCCACTGAAATAACCCGAATCTGAAAAAAGGAATAATAAATGAAAGTTCTACGAATTTTAACCAATGAGAGTCAGACGTTGCTTTTCAACCATGCTTCAACTGGATTATTAAAAAAATAAATTCATGGAACAGGTCTGGACAAAAATGATGGCACCCCTAACTTAATATTTGTTGCACAACCTTTTGAGTCCATAGCTGTCAGTGAGACTTCAGCAGGTATTTTGGCCCACTCCTCTTGAGCAAACCGCTCCAGCTGTCTCAGGTTTGAAGAGCGCCTTTTCCAGATGGCATGTTTCAGCTCCTTCCAAAGATGCTCAATAGGATTGAGGTCAGGGTTCATAGAAGGCCACTTCAGAACAGTCCAATGTTTTCCTCTTGGTTAGCTGCCTGTTTGGGGTCATTGTCCTGTTGCCAGACCCATGACCTGCGACTGAGACCAAGCTTTCTGACACTGGCCAGCACATTTCTCCCTAGAATCCCTTGATAGTCTTGAGATTTCATTGTACCCTGCACATATTCAAGACACCCTGTGCCAGATGCTGCAACCCCAGAACATAACACAGCCTCCTCCGTGTTTCACAGCAGGGAGCGTGTTCTTTTCTTGATGGGCTTCATTTATCCGTCTGAACATGGAGCTGATGTGCCTTGGCAAGAATTCCCCCTTCTGTCTCATCTGTCCGTGTCATTCTCCCAGAGGCTTTGAGGCTTGTCAACATGTGGTTTGGCGTATTCCAGTCTGGCTTTTTCATGATGTGTTTTCAACAATGGAGCCCTCCTTGGTCATCTCCCACTGGCTCAAACGATGGATGGGGCAATCTGACACAGGAGTTATTTCTTTGACCATTGTGGGTTTTTCTTTCGTTGACCAAAGGGTACCAACAACTTTGTTCAAGTTTGTAAGAACTGGGCGTGACGAGTTGCTTTCTGACATCTTTTAGCCTACTTCCAGTTGTCAGATTCTTTTGAAGGGATTTCATAAGTCAGGTGACGCATGTAGGTTGTGGAGTTTTTTTTTTAGTGATGGTTCGTCACAGGGTGGTAATATGAACTGCATTTTGGATTCATTCGTTTTCCAGTCTGAAACATTTACGGGGAAAAAAGAAGCGAAAACTGTAAGGAACCAAACTTTCCAGCTCTACAAGTTTCATTTTAATATAAAAAATTCACGGATCTGCTCTCACACTGTTTTCTGTCTCCTCGGTCCGGAGCATGAAGGCCAGGCTTGTGCGTCATTACAGGGGGCTCACTATGCTTCAACGTTTTTCTAACCCACACCCTTCCCTAACTCCCCTCTCACTGAACTCGCCTTTTCATTGCAGGTTGCCTTTGGTCACTTTGTTTATCCATCTTTCAGACTCCGCCTTTCTTTCCTTTCACTAATCCGTGCATCTGTGCTGAATATCATCTTTTTTTTCTTTGCTTTTCAGCATTCTGCCAGTGCTTTAATATAGATGTAAAGCATCCGCGGATCTTCACCGGTCCAGAGGAAGCTCTTTTTGGCTTTTCTGTGTTGCAACATGAAGCAGGAGGAGAGAAATCGTAAGTATGTGAGAGAAAAGTGAAAAAAGAAAGAAGACTTGGTCATTGCACAAAGAGGATGTTGATTGGTATTTTAGTAATCTGTGTGTCATTTTGTTGAAGGATGCTGGTGGGAGCGCCGTGGGATGGGCCGCCCAGCAACAGGAAGGGGGATGTGTACAAATGTGTTGTAGGGGAGGAGAAATATTCAAACTGCAGTAAAGTGAATCTAGGTGAGAGAGAGAAACACAGAATTATCAAATATTCTTAAAGTGATTAGATGAATTGGTCTTGATAGGGTGGAAACAACAGTCGGACTAAAGACTCATTTTGACCAGATTGTCAATCTAATAGTTAATTGGAACTGTTAATTTAGCATGAATTAGTTATTTAAACCAAACTTCACGGTTCTAGTGCAAATAGCAATGCATCTGTGCACATCTGGAACAGCCAAAGAAAATTCCAAAGGGGATTTGAAATTCCCACTGGAATGGTATTTTAAATTGACACAGAGCAGCTTCCTGCTCCTCCCCCTACTGGTTGAAAGTGGAATTGCAATTGTCAGGAAAAAAAATACCTGCAGCAGCCCGCTGTAGCTAGTGCTAGCTAGCTAACTCTAACATGAGCTGACAAATACTAAAACAAACCACAAAGTAAAAAGATCCACACTGTTGGACAAAAATATGCCTTACTTACAAGTCCAGTAGCAGCAACGCCAGGTCACCATCAGTCTGTGATTTTGTGGCCTCCTTTAGTGCCCTCAAGCTAGCGTAGGCCGCGCCGGTGTTCACTCTTGTTTTAGATCTTTGCTTCACCTCCAAAGACATGACTCTCTTTCTTTCACATCTAGACTCCACCATGATGCCAACAGAAAAAGCAAACTTCTTATTTTTTCTTCTTCTTGCGCTTTTTATTGACAATCAGCAAACCGAAAAAGCTAACAGCTAACAAGAACACCTACCTGCTCCACAAAACTATCTAGTGCAGTTTTTGGCCAGCAGAGTGGTGTCAGATATGAAACTAGTCAAGTTTCTAACTCAACATTCATTGAGATCAATGTTAAAGTGCTAGTTTAAAGGTTAAAAAATATCTAGTGTTACTTTAAAACAGCAGCAACTAAACTTTTGTCATGGTTTTGCTTGGATTAGCTGACAGCTAGTCCGACTAACCATTAGCTCATCGATCCAGACAGAAAAAGTTGCCGTTTCTCCAAACTGAGGATGATCAAAAAGGTGTTTAGTAAAATACCGTTCATTGCTTTTCCCCAGAATCCCGTTTCAAATAAAATGAACAGTTACTTTAAACATCGTCATGATTTGTAATTTTCTTTGTCTTCGTCTTTTTCAGGTGAAACTGCTCTTCAAAATGTTTCTAAAGTTCTGAGGAATTCTCACCTGGGAATGACCCTCACACCAGACTCACCTGATGGTTTCCTGGTAGGTGCAGGGCTGCTTGATAGAAAGGACGTGGCCACAATGTGTCTGATTTTCTCCTGAGTTCATTTTAATGGAGACATACTGTGACTTTTTTCCTTGCGTTATAATAGTCCTAAAAGCAGCAATAGCCATGAAACAGGAAGAGTGCACCGGCGTATCTTATAAAGACTCTCACCTCCTGCCAAAATAAGAGCATGGCCATGTGGGTAGACATTCACAAGGGTTCACTAGGCTACACATTCCAAACACAATCCCTCTGTTTTATTGTAGACATTTTCAGTACCTTCCAGAATGAGTCGTTTCAGGGTTCTGTCACATAAATAAAACAAGCTGAAACTGGCCACACCCAGCCATCCCCACTCAGGCTGCTATAAGCTGAGATGCTCCTATAGCCAGGATGGACTCAGTAGAGCCGCTGCTTCTCCAGGTGAAAGGTGGTTGCATCATTTCCTCATTTATGACATCACAAATGAGGACTTTTTAAACAGCTTGCTTTAAGCACATAATTCCTGAAAAAGACAGAAAATGGGTGGATAATAATAATAATATTAATAATAATACATTTTATTTAAAAGCACCTTTCAGAACACCCAAGGTCACTTGACAGAAAATATGTTCAGAAAATACATTAAAACAGCGATAAAACCACAATAAAACGCAAAGAAGAAAAAGAGAAACAGTTAAATAAAATCAGAGGTCATAGGCAGATTTAAACGTGTGTTTTGAGTCTAGTTTTGAAAAGGGTGAAACTGTCGATGTTTCTGATGTCTGGGGGGAGTGAGTTCCAGAGACGGGGAGCAGAGCGGCTGAAAGCTCTGCTCCCCATGGTAGTGAGACGGGCTGAAGGAACAGCAAGATGGAAGGAAGAAGGAGATCTGAGAGAACGGGAGGGGGTGTTAATACTTAAAAGGTCTGAGATATATGGAGGAGAGAGGTTATGGACGGCTTTGAAGGTATGGAGGAGAATTTCGAAGATGGACCTGAATTTAACTGGGAGCCAGTGAAGCTGTTGGAGAACCGGGGCGATGTGGTGAAAGGAAGGGGTTCTGGTGATAATATGGGCTGCTGAATTCTGGACCAGTTGCAGTTTATGAAGGAGTTTGTTGGGGAGACCATAAAGAAGTGAATTGCAATAATCGAGACGGCAGGTGACGAGGCTGTGGCCGAGAATGGCGGCAGTGTGAGGGGTAAGGGAGGGGGATGGACTTTTTTTTTCTCGTTTAAAATGTATACGTAGACAGTAGAGAACCACATGGCAGCACAAAAGGATGCGAAAGGTGAGTTTTGCATCATACATCCACTTTAAATAAATACTAAATGTTAAACAAGATCAGCGGAAGGTATGATGGTGCATTAGCGCCACTGTGTAGAAACAGGATTAGGAGGAAAAGCCAAGAATGACGTAGATCTACTATAGTTTATCGATACCGTTCTCTGGTAAAACATTTTTATAAGCCAAAGATGTTTACATGTTTTTGTTTGAGGCTCTTATTCTGAAAGCTCAAATGAAACTGTAGTTGTTGCTGTTATGTGGATGATGACTTTATTCTTTTGAATATTTTTAGATTTTGTCTTTAATCTCGGCTCTATTTAATTTTCTCCTCGTTGGCCCTGAACACACACTGGTTGAAAAACACACGATCTGATTTATTTGGCAGCTTTGATGGTCAAATCATGGAGGCCAAAACTCAAATCTGTTTAAATATTCTGCTCTTGGTAATATTATTTGGCTCAGAAACCCAGTTTGGATTAAACACCAAGTCTTCTAGAAATCAAATAAAAGTTTAAAAAAGTGATTCTTAATGGCGCCGTTTGTCATAATTCTCACAAAACGTAAAAACAGTCATCATAAAAACATTTCATGGTTGTTGAGGCTGTTTCTGTTGCACATTTCCGATGTTTGTGTATTTCAGCCAGTAAGAGTTTTAAGGCTTTGCCGCTATTGGGTCAGAAACTGGGAGGGTTGGGAGTCTCTAATATAAAGAGATGGATTCAGTCCAGCACTGGATGCCTGACCTGTTCAACATTTAAAATCTGCAGACTCATTTTGATGACTGAAGTCCTTGTAGCCGTGTTAATCATCTAAAAATCTTATTGTTGCACTCCATTTCACGTTCCGCCAGTCCAACACACTTCTTTAGTATCCAAGAGGTAGCGGTGTGTGTTCTTTGTGTATTTTTCTGACTGAATGTGTGTGTTTTGTGTTCTGATGCCTGCCAGGATTTAAGATTTTACCTCGGGTGTGGAGTCGCGCACAGTTCACAAACCTGCGTATGCGTGTGTGTGTGTGTGTGTGTGTGTGTGTGTGTGTGTGTGTGTGTGTGTGTGTGTGTGTGTGGTGGTCAGGTCTATAACGGGATTGGAATGCGTCTCCGGCCTTTTGTTAATGACAGACCAACCAAAAGCCATAGCACCTCTGTCGCTTTTCTCCATCTTCTGGTTTCATCCCTTCTCTCTCTCTCTCTCTCTCTCTCTCTCTCTCTCTCTCTCTCTCTCTCTCTCTTCTCTCTCTCTCTCTCTCTCTCTCTCTCTCTCTCTCTCTCTCTCTCTCTCTCTCTCTCTCTCTTTCTCTCTCTCTTCTCTCTCTCTCTCTCTCTCTCTCTCTCTCTCTCTCTCTCTCTCTCTCTCTCTCTCTCTCTCTCTCTCTCTCTCTCTCTCCATCTCATCGCTGCTGCCTGTCTGTGTGCCTGAGGAGAAACCCATCCATAATGACAGGGCAAGAAAACCAGCATGTTTCTCTTTCTCTCGTTCTATCCTCATTTCACCCCACCGCTCTCAGCCTCCCTCTTTTGTCTCAGCTTCTCTTTTATGTGCTCCCTCCACACTCTCTCTTCATTTTTTCCTCCTAGAATGAAAACCAACTACGCTTTGAAGACAGAAATATTTTTATAGGATGCCCCCTAACCCCTCAGATTCACCCAACCCACTCTGTATTTAACACAGTTAGATTTAAATTGCCCCGCTGGCGCGCTGTTAAACCGCTCGTGACAACAGCGACTGCCAGCATGTCAACAATAGTCTCCCTCCCTCTGCCTTTTTTTCTGTCCTCAAAACCACATCATTTTGTTATTTTTTCCATGACTTATTCCCTCTGGTGACTTGTTTTCTTTTTGTTCCCTGCTGAAGTTATTTTATGTGTGTTTATGAATGTGTCAGTCAGCCTCGTGTCTGTACCATTAAACTATTTAAAAAACAAAAGCAGCAGAACACAAAAACTTAAAGAGTAAGTCACCCCCTACCACAGTCTTACTCCACTCCCACTTCCTGTGTGAGAAATGCAACAAATGCCGTTGCCTTGCAGACCGAGGCGGTGGAGCCGCTAACAAATACACACACACAAACCGGCTCACAGCAGCACTGTGACATCACAATGTACCAGCTAACATCGTAGCGTACCTCTTAGCCAATTGCTAAGATTTAAATTCAAATGCAGTGCAGAGTTTTTACCTGGAGAGGGCACAACACTGACAGTTTTAGGCAGAATATAAAAATTTGATCTAAGATGCATTAAAGTGCCAAATTATTGAGTACACGGGTCTACAGCACGATTAGACACTCATTTATATGGATTGTAGATGTTATTGATTTAAATTAATATTTCCTTCTTATAGATCCAGGGGACCTCAGGGCCACAGAGAACGTTCATGTTTTTAGAAACAGGCTCACGACCCATCTTTTTAGCTTAGCTTTTAACTGACTACTATCACTTTTTAAATTAATTAATTAATTAATTAGGTTATCTATCTATCTATCTATCATCTATCTATCTATCTATCTATCTATCTATCTATCTATCTATCTATCTATCTATCTATCTATCTATCTATCTATCTATCTATCTATCTATCTATCTATCTATTTATTCTTTCTTTCTACGTGCTCCTTTTGCTCTGACTTTTATTGTCAGACTGATTGTAACAGGAGGGAATGTGGGCATGCAGGGCCTTTTCAATTTGTTAACCACTTTGAGTTGCATGCTTTGTATGAATAAGTGCTATATAAATAAAGTTTGATTGATTGATTATAGATAGTTTGGAGAAACAAAGGTTAGTTAGGAACAGACTGACAAGCTAATGGCTAGTAATATCAAAGCCGGACTACAGTGTGTGTTTTCAGCTGTTGCACTCTGAGGACTCCCTGAAGGTTGCGGACTGTACGGCGCAAGACTTTAGTGAACCAAACTGCATGACGCCTCTCTTCAGCAGGGCATGCTAACGTCACAAACAGAGTTGGTAACACTTCTTTTGCTAGACTCCAACCCAAACTCCAAAAAGGAGCTTTTTATAAAAACATTGCAATAAAGGGCTCATTTGCAAGCGAACTGCAGCTTAAAAAGTCTGATATTAATCGCGGTCCTGAGTCAATGTGTAACATTTTCAGTGTTTTTTGTTGTGCAATTCAAACTCCGACCTCTAGTAGCAGCAGTTGTCATCACCCTCATTCAATGGTTTTTTTGTCCTCCTTCAGCGAATCTAGATCATTCTACTTTGGTTGAGATATCGTGTCAATCTGCCATAAAATTTATTTACATCATTGTGTGTGTGTGTGTGTGTGTGTGTGTGTGTGTGTGTGCGTGCGTGCGTGCGTGCGTGCGTGCGTGCGTGCATGCGTGTGTGTGTGTGTGTGTGTGTGTGTGTGGTAGGCATGTGCCCCTCTTTGGTCACAGGAGTGTGGTACATCTATGTTCAGCACCGGGATCTGCGCCTCTGTCAGTGATGACCTGGAACCAAGAGAGACCATCGCACCAACTGAGCAAAGTAAACACACACACACACACACACACACACACACACACACACACACACACACTCACATGCAGCAGAGCACTGTTTTAACCAGCCAAATGTTTGGAAATGTCCTCAAATTGCAGAGTGCAAGACGTTTATGGACATCGTGATTGTAGTGGATGGCTCTAACAGTATCTACCCCTGGTCTGAAGTCCAGAACTTCCTCAGCAACATCCTCAGCAAGTTCCACATCAGCTCCAACCAGATGCAGGTAAACACTACAAGCCTTGCTGCCTCTAGTAACTGTTCACGTTTGTAATGGAAACTTGTGGGTTCAAATTTGAACGATACATAATTTAAATGTCTGAAACTCCTTTGCTGTTGCCAAGAAAAGGAAGACAAGCTTTTCCCCTGAGTGAAAACAGAAGCAGATATTAGCAAGTTTGGCAAATAGAACCATGATGAACTACTGCGATAGCTCAACGGGACGTGAGCCCTGGAGGTTGAGGGGGGAGTTGGAGGGCAGGGACGTAGCGATGTTATTCCGAACGAGAGGAGAGAGAGGGGAGCGTTGAGGAATGAGAAAGGAGGGTGGGGGGTATTGGGTAGCAGGCAGTGTGAGGTGAAGAGGAAATACCTCTGGTTTCTGAATGAATTCAGAAATTCCCCAAGTGAACTGTTTGCTTTAAGAATAGGGCCGCTACTTAAAGAGGTGGCTCACTCCAGAAACACAAGTCTTAGATGTTGCTTCCCACAATCATCCACAAACCACAAACATGGTGCTTTTGCTGAAATGCTTGTGCATGTGTGTTGCATTCAGGTTGGTATAATACAGTATGCAGAGATAGCTGTTCACGAGTGGTCTATGAAGGACTACCAGACCACACAGGAGGTGGTGGAGGCCGCCAAGAACATCAGCCGTCAGGAGGGCCGAGAGACGCGCACAGCAGACGCCATCAACATAGCCTGGTAGGCCCGCTGCTCTCCGATGAGCTTCTCTTTGTGAAACACGGAGCAGATTTGGCAGGCTAACTGGAAACTGAGTGTTTAGATTTTGGTGTAACGTTCTTAAGGGTTGTTCTCTAAATAACGCTGTTTCATGTAGGGCATGTTCCCTTCTCAGTTGTTCTGTGGGTATTTCTGATTTACAGAACTAGCTAGATGCTAGAATACGTTGCAGAAGTTCAGATTTTATCTTGCTTCATTGCATCAAATGTAGGGATGGGTACCTTTGACATTTGAATCGATTCGGTACTAATTCCCGGTACCTAGGAATCGATACCGGTACTTAAGTTTTCGATACTTTTGAGTGTTTAATATTTTAATTCTCTTTTATAATTAAATATATATTTTTGTCAATATATAACCATATTTGATAAATACCAGGATAAATAACATACAACTGTTTGTATTTTAACATGGTCCTTGTAGTTTTATAAGCTGATAATTAAACTGAAGCAAACATCTTTACTGTGAACTAAATTTACTGTGTATCTTCATTCCTTTTGCGGTCTTTTTTCATTTGATTTTTCCTACTGGGAAGTTAGAATTTCCGAGGAGAAAGCGAACGCACCATTAGCTGATAACAATGGTTGCAGTGGAAGCTAACGTATCAAGCTAACGTTATCTTAAACAGTTTATTTAGTTGCTGGGGCAGATTATTTGTGGATTCTCTGAAAGTTTCCATGGAGTCTGTGACAAACTTTTTTTCATTGATCCTATCATCTAATCTCACAGCTGAAACAACGCTTTCTTTATAATCTGTGCGCAGGAAGCATGCCGATGCTGTAGTAAAACAAAAGTTATAATAATTTTTTTATTAATAAAACCATGTTGCAGCACTAAAGCAGCAGAAAAATTAGATTTTGCAAAAATATGCAGAATGTTGAATTGTTTTAGAGCCCTGTTGTTGGCAGATTCTGATATAAATTTTAGCTCTTCACCTGGGAAAAAAAATGGGTCCCAACCAAGCCCCCACAATGCGGGTGACAAATTGAAGCAAACCCGGAAGTGAAATAAATTGCAGTTCCACCCTCATCCACTAGGGGCTGGTGTCAGAAGCGAGCAAATCCTCATTGACTCCCATGTTAAAAATATCAATTTCACAGCAGAAATAAACATGTTTACAGCCTGGTACCAAAAGATGTTTTTGGTTTAAATTCCATTCCATTCCATTTATTTGATAAAGCACATTTAAAAACAGCATGTGAGCTGACCAAAGTGCTGTACAGGGGTAAAAACATATAAGGTTAAAAGAATAATATATAAGAATAAAACAACTAGAGCAGAACATGAAAATGATCTAGTTTACACTCATGACAACTCTGAGGGGGGTGGATTTTTTTCTCACTCTTCTGTTTAAGTGTATTAAAAGCCTAAAATTCTGTATAATTAATGAGCATCAGACCCACGTGACCACAGAGCTAGCTCCGTGGAAAGGCCTCAGTAGAGCCTCGGTCTGGCTTGGAAACTGTTCTGGGATTTTGAGTCTCTGTGTTTGTGTATTCTTGTTTGGATATTATTTGTGCAATTGTTGGACAAAATGACTTGCTGTGGCATTAATTGCACTAATAGAGCGTCCAATGAGTCTCCACTTCATTTTATTCGGTAAATAAAATTATATTTATGTATTTTAGGTCACTGCCGAGCTGAGCTTAGATTTTAACATGTACTGTTTAACCATGAAATTTATATGAAATAGGGTAAAACCCAGTGTATTTAACATAATGCTGCACTTTAGAAAATGGGTTGAAATATAACATGTTGGTGGAGCTGGGTTCCCACTATCGGCTTGTGGAGCTCTCGGGAGACCTCTGTTTTCCACCCGTTTCTCCCCTCCCCGCAGCTCGGTGCATCTCTGTCTGATCGCGGCTTCTGTTTGCTGCGCGGGCTGCCGACTTGTGGAGGTCTCGGAGACCTCTGTGTTCCACCCGGTTTTACCCATCGGTCAGCCCGGCGTATCTCTGACTCAGAAGCTCTGGTGTTGTGCACAGTTAACTCCACGTTGTAGCTAGGTTGCTACCTCCGTTAGCTTAGCTCCCACCTCCGCGTTAGCTTTGGGTTAGCATCAGGTTAGCTTGTAGCTAGTTCGACCGGGTGTCGTCAGTTGATCCCAGCCTTACAGCCCCACCCTCAGCTCCACCTCTCTTCCCTTTTATGGAATTGTCTGGGCTTGACGGAACCTGTGACACGGTCAAAATGGCGGTGGTGGCCACCTCCCACTTGGCCTCAAAAACGTGTTATTGAAGCTTATGGAAACCCATTGTCCACATATGTATATGTCGATAGTCCCAACATGGTTTGTGTGTTGTTGCCATAGTGTGACGTCATCGGTAGGCACAGATCTCCTGTCCTCTTTTTTTGGAAATGGAAATATGGTCACCCCAGCATATGGATATGCATAGAGACTAAAAGAAAAAAGGGATTGGAAGCATCTGAGAACAACAACATTAGATGGAACAAAAACATGAAGTAGGTGTGTGTCTGAAGCGTTAATCTAAAGCAGAAACCACAAAGCTGATATTGTTCAAGAGGTGGAGAACACTAGACAACCGTTCACAATCACATTTCCACCTACAAGTAATTTAGAATGAGAAAATATACATGAATGACTGTGAAGGTTAGGGGGAGACGCAGCAAAAGGTAAATTTACCAGAATAAAACGCATGGTCCCATTTAGCTCTGGCTCATAGATTTTACTTTAACCAGATTTGACCAAAACCAAACATTCATCTGCAGACTGAGACAAAACAGTAGAGAAGACAGCAGAAGTCCAGAGTAAAAGTCTGAGGATTTTTATAATATTTTTAATACGGAGCCTGAGGCTCCGGGTCCCTGAACGGGGCTAAAAACGCTATTTTCTAATCCGCTTTGCCTTACGCCCTGGATCACACATATGTTGTAATTGTATTCAAATGAAAAGTAACGATGGGTGTTTCCACCACGCCAGTCACGTACTTTCACATTTATCAGCTTGTAAAAGTTTGTAATTAGCATGACTACCAATCAGACATCGGCACGTCGCATATATGACATCGCCACATAATCTCCTCCCCCGCTACTTACCACAGGGCCAGATTTATGGATCTGAAGTTCGCTGTACTTACAGCCATTTTTCCTCTGCTTTTCTCCGTGTCTGGCTCGATGACGTCACTTTGTAGTTGGATTTGTAGTCCTGGACTTATTTTCACACAACACCTAAAACGTTTCCCCCGTTTGAAAACAAGCAAGTTCTTGGTATCAAAATGCATCTTAAAAATTCTCAGACATCATAGGTGAAATCCATGGTCCTTAACAAGTGGAGTTAGAAAACAGCGTTTTAGCCCCATTTTCTCCTTCATCTGGGGAACCGCGGTCCGGAAGTAGATGGGCGTGACTTAGGCTCCCTACATTTAATTCATGTTTATTTGAAAAAAAATTCAGCTATTTGTCTTTTTGCTCCAAAACACTTTGAATTTGAATCAATAAGTGATTAACTCATTTCTGTAGAGCTTGTTGTGCAATATTTTATAAATGTAATTATAAGTTTCTACTTGGTCATCTTTTATCACTGTGTTTTATTTAGATTTTTATTTATCAGCTGTTTATGTTTAATTTGTTTCTTAACTGTTATCTTAGGCCCTGTCCACACGTAGCTGGGGATCTGCCAAAACGTAGATATGTTTCTACGTTTTGGTCTGTCATCCACACGAAAACTGAGTTTTTTCACACGAAAACGGAGTTTTTTCACACGAAAACGGATCTTTTTAAAAACTCCGGCCAAAGTGAAGATCTGCGTTTTCTCCGTTTTGGGTGTCTGCGTGTGGACAGACAAAACCGGAGTTTTAAGGTCCGCAACGTCACTTTCCGCGACAAATAAATGCTGACATCACGTGTGCGACCTGTGTTTACACTAGCCGACAGCATGGATGCCCTCGGAGCTGCGCTCGCTTTATCAATTGTCCAAGCGCTTTCTGCTTGTTTGTTTTTGCAAGAGGAATTACTGCTCCTTGCGGAAGACCACAGACGAAGGACAAGGTTAAGAACGGGGGAAGTACTGCCGCCTACAGGTCTGGCATGTCCTTAACAACGTATTTATCCGGGTACGTGTGGACAGAGTTTTTTTTTAAACGAGGTGGTGTGGATGCAAGTTTTTAGAGGGGCGGATATTCGTTTTAAAAAAAACCCGGCTACGTGTGGACTAGGCCTTAGTCTCATTAGTAAAGTAGTGTTTCCTCTGTGGGGGCCGGCTGCCCTGGGGGCAGCGGTGGACTGTGGTGGCTGGGGTGCTTCCCATGTTTACTCTTGCCAATCTTGGTGCTCCCGGTGCAGTTGGCTCCTTTGATGGCGTTTTCATCTTCTTTGTACCTACTACATCTGCACTCAGCCAGCTGCCCTATCTCTTTTACGTGTGTGTGTGTGTGTGTGTGTGTGTGTGTGTGTGTGTGTGTGTGTGTGTGTGTGTGTGTGTGTGTGTGTGTGTGTGTGCGCGTGTGTGTGTGCGTGCGGGATTTTGCATCTGCTTGGGACGGGATTGAGGGTGGGAGGAGGGAGAAACAAAGGGGATCTCTGTGATTCTGTGTGGGAGGGGTGGGAAACCGACTGCTGTCTGGTTGTTTTTAATATTGTAAAGCGCTTTGAGCTGCATTTGCATGAAAAGCGCTTCACAAATAAATTTTGATTTGATTTGATTTGATTTGAAAAGATGTCGAATTTACCCAATAAATAATGTTTGATGGCGCAATAGAGTACAATACAGTAGAAGATCCCTTTATCGTCTCTCTGTGGGAACCAGGGGAGGATTTAGGACTGAAGAAGATCCGGGGCTTAACACACACACGCGCGCGCACGCACACACATGCGCGCACACATGCACGCGCGCGCACACACACACACACGCGTCACGCACTAGTCAACATCATATATATTTGTCTTGTACCACATAATTTTTAATCTGAAGCTACATATTAAGCATATTCAGGGCAGAGTAT